TCTCCTCTACCCAGTTGTCAAGAAGTGTTCAAATTGAAAGTCCACAACTGCTATCCGAACAGTTAATTGGTGGTGGTGGTGCACCATGGAGTCGGTTCCGACTCATAGCAACCCTGTAAAGGGTTTCTGAGGCTGTAAATCTTCACAGGAGCAGAGAGCTTCATCTTTGTCCAGTGGAACAGCTGGTAGTTTTGAACTGCTGACCATGAATTAGCAGCCCGACTTGTAAAACAGCTAATTAATTACTTCCTCAGTTTTCTTATGTCTAGATAATTCATTCAGTCAACAACCACCTCATTTAGACTCTATTAGACAAATGTTGCTGTTGCTGTTAAGTCAATTCCAATTCATAGTGATCTTATATAGGGTTTCCATACAACCCTGTTCAAATCTGGCTCAAACCTGGTGAGTTTGAACCACTGACCTATGGTTAGCAGTACAGTGCTTATCCTACAGCGCTACACCAAGACTCTATAAATATACTTCACAACTAGCTGTAAAAAAAAAAAAAAAAGTACCTGGAAGGAAATATATCGAGACGTTTGAACAATTTGTAATAGGGAAGGCTAGCCTGCAGTGAAGGGAAAGGCAAGGAATCTGAAGTCTGCAAGGGGCGCTGTGAGATATTTCAGAAATGAGTGGGAAGAACTTTCCGACCTTGTGAACAACATGTGCAAAGGTCCTGATGTGGAAGGGAAATGTGTGGTCAAGGCCCTAAAAAAGAGCCAAAGGAAGCAGGGGTCAGATCATATGAGATTTCATGTAGCTTGTTGTTGCTAAGTGCCGTAGAGTTGGTACCGACTCATAGCAACCATGTATAGGGTTTCTGAGGAGCCACCAACCTTGTAGTTCAAGGCTACCTTGCAGTCCAGTGCATTAACCCACAGCACCATACCATGACTCCATAAGACCTTATGTGTTCTAGTAAAGAGAAACTGAAGGGTTGCTATGAGGTGGAATCAACTTGACAGGAATGGGTTTGGTTTTAAGTAAGAACTTCTAACCAAAAGTTTGGAGGTTTGAACCCAACCTGAGGGAGGTACTCAATAAAAAAGAACTGTTGATTTGCTTCCAAAAGGTTGCAGTCTTGAAAACCCTACAGGGCACAATTCTATTCTGCAACAGATGGTCATTCATTATGAGTCGGAATCCACACCTCAGCTTAGTTTTTGGTTAAGGAAGAACTTAGCATGGTCAGATCTACATTTTAATTATCACTCTCGCTGTGTCAGAGCAAAGTGACTCTGTGAAGCAATCTTTGCCAGGACACAGTTCAAAGAACTCTACCTTGGATCCTGCAAAACAAGTTTGTTTCTTTCTTTCTTTTTTTTTCCCTTCTCACAGGGTGTGGCTGTTTTTTCTGTTCATTCTTGGAAGTTTAAAAGTCAACTCCCCTTCTCCTTTCTAGGCTCTTGTGGTATGCTGTTGTTGTTTTTGCTTTTCCCAATAGCCCCCAGTAAACTACCTCATCATTTTCCAGGTCTCATTATGCCTGAACCTCTTTACTCTCTCCAACTGGCTGAAGGGCCCGGTGGCAAAAGACAGAACAACCTGTCCTTTGGAGTTTTTTATATAAAGTGTAGAGCCAAACTGAGAAAGAACCACAGATTCTGCTCTGTTGTATCATATCACCCTCAACCAAGCCCAGTTGAAACAAAAGAAGATAATATCTGATAATGTCACTCTCTAGGTTAAGATTCCCAGATGTCTCAGTGCCTTCTTGGGCACACCCCTCATCCTGATCACCTGGCCAATGAAGGCCTGACTTCTGTGGACCCAGCTCCAAGCTTTCAGAGCTGCTTTCAGTTTCTCCTTCACAAGAAGTTTCACCCCACCTCTTGGCACTGCCAAGAGTCCTTACAGCACCCACTGACACTTCCTCCAGGAAGCCATCCCCACCCTTTCCCTACTCCCCTGTTGAACTGCCCTGCTCCCCACACCATTCCAAGAAAGTAATTTTTCTTTGAACTTTTTGGTAAGTAACCTCTTCTCTGTCACCCTCCCAAGCATGCTGCCCAGCTCCTGCAGGACAGATTCTGCATATCATCACAACTACACCCAGCACATTGCCTGGCACACAGATGGGCTCACTCTATCTATGTGGGGGCTCTAAACAGTTTTAGAAAAACTCCATTATCTTTCATTTCCATTTTCCCCATAGACTTTTTGAAGCCCGCTCATATTTATTGAATGAATGAGTAAATAAAAAAGCTAATGCTTGTACAGTCTCCCAAGAGCTGGAAGGGACGTCTTTAAGGGGAAACTAGAGGTTTTTCGTTCTTCTAAGTTTGAGAGAAAATGGGAACATGAAAATCAAGTCACAAACTTTAGAAACGGTGCTACATCTTACCCATGGAAACTTGGAAGGGTAAAAAAATATCAATATAGGGCACATACGGTCATAGTTCTAGATAGAACCAAAACTTTTAGAAGCTGACAGATATTAAGGCAACAGTCAGGCAGCAGAGAGAAAAGGTGCTCATGATGAGAACCCAATAAAACACCACACCACGACAGAAACATCCAGCTGATGCATTCCTTTTTTGTGTATAGCTCTCTTGTCTGCCTACAACACTTAAGGTTCTCTTATTACTGTCCTATCTAATACCCTTCAAAATCAGCTCCTAGGCCTTCACCTTTCTTTCATATCTTTTTTGCATTCCTTCCTCAGAAATACCAACATGTACATTATCATTCCAAAGATTGGGTTTTTTCTGCTGAATTCTAAAGGGACAATAACATACAAAAAGTTAATGTTAAAATGAAATTAAAAGATAACAGAATTTTTCCAAATCTTGGAAGCCCCTTTTGTTAGTATATCCAAGTCTAAACTAGTAACGTGCTACTTTGGAGTCATCTGTGAACCAGCATTGCAACACCTGGAAGCTTGTTAGAATTGCAGAATTTCAGGCACCACCTCAGACCTACTTAGTTTAAATTAACATTTTAACCTGAAACTCAGATCATTACTATGCACATTAAAGTTTAGGAAGCACTGTATTTGATGCTATATTCAATCCACAAATATTTATTGAGCCTGTGTAAGGTACACAGTAGGTGTCCAAAACATGTGAGAGATGTTAATGACCGGGAAAAGAACAAGCACAGACATTTCATCATAAGGGCAAACTCGAGTAAACATTGAAAACAACGTAAAGGGCGAGTCAGGATGTTCATTATCTTTACACTAAAATTCAGCAGAGGCCACTGCAGAGTAGATGTGGGAATCTGGAATCTGGGAACTTGACCCTGTTCGCAGCAGGCAGGAGGAATATATGGGAGGTGGTGAGTGTGTGTGAGTGTCTTCCCCGCCTCAGCCACAGGCCGCAGGAGCTGACAAGGCCAAGTCCCCGCCCCCCTCAGCTGTCACCCTGTCAAAACAAAGCCGCTGCTGACAGCGCAGGGCCAGCCTGCCCCGCGGCCTCGGGCAATCCTCCCTCCCCAGGAGTGTGGCTCCTACATCTGGATCTCCAGCTGGGGGGCCATGAGGCACCGAGAGCTGGACGGAGCTGGGGCTGACAAGAAATGTGTGTCCTCAAACTGAGCAGCGCCCACCGCGCTGGGTTGTCACCTTGCCAAATCATATTTACACCCTGAGCAGCTGGGACAGCATTTTAACTAAACGAGTAATAATACATTAATGACAGGGCTGTCACTGCGCGCTGCAAAGCCTCCGTCCCGAGGCGCTCCTGGACCTTTTTCTTAGACTGTTCCATCCAGCGCGTTCCGCCCCTTCGCTCCCGCAAGGAGCCAGGAGTCTGGCAGGCTTTTCACCCTCACTCCTTGCACCCAACCCCTCCCAAAGGGGCAAAAGGAAAGTCCAGACTCAGAGGGAGTGCTCAGGTCCCTAGGATGTTTCCCTGGCCCTGGGACGCCCAACCCCAAAGAAGCACCACTGCACTCTCTGGAAGGTGCCTCAGGCGAGCTCCTACACAGCAACAAAGCCCCGGGGCAGTCCCGGAGCTGGAAACCGAGGCTAAACAGTCCGAGACGGAGAAATGAAGGGCTCTCCATCTGGGTGACCCTCCTTCTTCCAACCCAAAAGGACTCTTATCCAAGAAGGAGCTAACTGGGCGCGGGCTGCAGCAGCACTTCCGCGGTGCAGCGGCCCCAGGCAGGAGGCGGGAGGCGGGGGCGGAGAGGGAGGGGGTAGGGGTCCCGCGAGGCTGGGCCCCTTGCCCCCACCCTCAGTCTGGAAGCAGAGAAGATACCTTGCAAGCGGAGTACACTCCGAGTTTCTCCAGTTTCTTGGCCCGTGGAGCGGAGCGCAGCTGCGCCTTCTTCACGGCGATCCGGGCCGAGCCTCCGCCTCCCGGTCCTTCGGCCGTGCCCGCCGCCGCCACTGCCGTTGCCGGTCCGCAGGCGCCCGAGCCCCCAGCAGCGGCGGAGCAAGGGGAGCCCTGCGGAGGCGCGGGCGGAGGCGCTGGGGGCTGCGGAGGCAGCCCCCCGGCCCCTGCCCCGCCGCCGCCCGGCCCGGCCCCGCCAGCTTCGGACATGCTGCCCCGGAGCACGGCAGGAGGCGCCGAGTGTCAGGCGCCACCGCCGCCGCCAGGGTCTCCCTCTCGGGCTCTGGTCGCCAGGAGAGCGAGACCCTCCCCCCACGCCCTCCCGCCCCTTCGCCCACCCCCCTCCCCGCCCCCGCCCTCCCCCGCGCGCGCCGCTGGCCTGGCTAGCTCCGGCCGCGGCCGGCGCGCTGTTGGTGGCGGCGGCAGCTGCTCCCCCAGGAGGGAGGAGACTAGCGGCTCTGCTGCCGCCGCCGCCACTACACACGCCCTCTCCCGGCTCTGCTCCCCGGGGCTCGGCACCGCTCCGTGACCGCGGACATGTTCTTCGGAACTGCGGACTAGGGTGGCGTATGGGGGGGTGTAGAAGCCAGGGGGGCCCTTCGGCCTCACGTCGGCTCCCCGCGGAGTTTGCACCCCTCTACCCCGACGCCTCGACAACTAGCGTTCACTGAGCAGGGGGCGAGGCCATGCTCGGGGTGGGGGGGTGAGGTGAGGATGCGGGTGGGGGTAGGGGTAGGGGTTGGAGCCTAGGCACCTGCAGTTCGCCTTCCCCCCAGCGGCCCCTCCTACGACCCTCGCACTCCGAAGCCTGGGACAGGGGTGGGAGACCCCCAGTCATTTGTCCTTCTACTCCATTCCACCCTCTCACGAAGCAAAATAACTTCCTCCACCCTAGCGGGAGCCAGAAGAAAAAAATATTTTTTGAAAAGTACCCGTCCATGCTAATCCTTTCTTTGTTGCTAATTCGACAAAATAAAAGACGTGGTGTTTTTTCATTTTTCTTTTTCCTTTTCTGGCAAACTTTTTTTTTTTTTTTTTAAGATGAAGAACGCTTTCTTTCTATTCCTTTCTTTGTTGCTAATTCGACAAAATAAAAGACGTGGTGTTTTTTCATTTTTCTTTTTCCTTTTCTGGCAAACTTTTTTTTTTTTTTTTTAAGATGAAGAACGCTTTCTTTCTATAACAACTTCTGGACCAAATTTGCCAGAGAAGGGAATAGACTGTTAATCAATACTCTTTTTGTTTTGTTTTCGTTTGGTTTTTGTAAGTACTGGTTGTTAGAAGAATGTTTGCCTAAAAGCACTGTCAAAATAAAACTGCTCAGCTGGAACTTTGGAAAAACGTTAGCGCTCATCTCTAGGTAATGGAATTATAACCTACTGCTATTTTAAATTTTTTCTTTACTTGTCCAAATTGAAGCCACCACTACGTATATTAAACGGAAAAAAATTTTTTTTGAGCAGCACCCAAAAGAGGAGTGCACATTTTGCCCCCCCCCTTAAAAAAAAAAAAAAAACTCGAGTTTTCAACTCTTGCTGTAGATGGTCAAGAGAGAACATTTAAGTTTTGCATTTGAAACTCGTGCCAGGTTGGCCTTTCGACGTTTTAAAAACCAAGAGCTATTTCTCAGCAGTGCCCTAATTTTGCAGAGCTATTGTTATTATATGGAGTCCTTGTGTGGTGCTGTGGGTTAATGCGCTAGACTGCAAAGTCTGTTTGAACTGCAAGGTTGGTGGTTCAAGTCGTTCCTTGGAAACCCTCTACAGGGTCGCTATGGGTCAGAACCTACTGGACGACGGCACTTAACAACAACGTTATTACATATAAAAAGAATCATTATGTGCTTATGAGATTCTTTGCATACCTTCTAGCTCTCACCCAACTCCAAAGGAAGCACCTTAAGCGACGCCCCCCCAAATTGTCTTTCCTGTTAATTATTTTTTAACCTTTTTCCTGATTTTATGTGTTCTTTTGATTTTTATACAGAGCGGTTTGCAAAAACTGGGGTCGGGTGGGGTGGGGTGTAACTTTGTGCATTTAAACAGCGACGTTAGAAAAGGCAAAAGGAAATTTTCTCTCCCAATTTGAGTTCAGTGTGAAGTTTTGAGAAGGAAAACTCATCATGTTCCATCTGGACAACTTAGTTTGGTGCTCCCTCTCCTCTTGTTGCTAACTGCCATAGAGTCGGTTCTGATTCATAGTGACCCTATATAGGGTTTCCTGAAGAACACCTGGTGGGTTTGAACTGCTGACTTTATGATTTTTATCCTACAGCACCACAGTAGGACTCCTTCCTAGGCTTTTTAAGTGGACTCAGTTCCAACTCATAGTGACCATAAAGACTGGTGAGCTTGAACCGCCGACATTACAGTTCAAACTGACTTTGCAGTCCAGCAAATGAACACACAGTGCCACACCAGGACTCCTTTCTTACCTTAGGATACTTCAATTGACTCTGCTAAGGTGTTTTACATTTTTTTGTTGTTATTCTCACCAAAGCCAGATAGGATGGGAATCTTAAAAACTGTGATCCCCTAATCAGACATTCTAACGTCATAATGTTTGTGTTGTTGTTATTAGGTGCCATAGAGTTGGTCACTACTCATAGTGACCCTATGCACAACAGTTCGAAGCTCTGCCCAGCTCTGGGCCAAACTCACAATTGTTGCTTCCTTGAGCCCATTTATGCTGCCACTCTGCCAATCCATCTCACTAGGGGGTCTTCCTCTTTTTCTCTGACTCTCCACTTTACCAAGTATGATATCCTTCTCCAGTGACTGGTCCCTCCTGACAATATGTGTGACGTATGAGAGACAAAATCTAGCCATCCTGGCATTCAAGGAGCACTCTAGCTGTACTTCATCCAACACAGATCTATTTGTTCTTTTGGCAGTCCATGATACTTTCAATAGTCTCCTCCAAAACCATGACTCAAATGCATCAATTCTACAACCTTCCTTATTCACTGTCCAACTTTCGCATGCATATGAGATTATAGAAAACAGCATGGCTTTGGTCAGGAGCATCTTAGTCCTCAAATTCACATCTTTGTTCTTGAACACTTTAAAGAGGTCTTGTGCAGCAAATTTGCCCAATGCAATACGTCATTTGATTTCTTAACTGCTGCTTCCATGAGTATTGATGGTTGATCTGAGCAAAATGAATCTTTGACAGCTTCAGTCTTTTCTCCACTTATATTGATGTTATTTATTGGTCCAGTGGTGAGGATTTTTGTTTTCTTTACACTGAGATGCAGCCCATACCAAAGGCTGTGGTTATTGATTTTCATCAGTAAGTAGTTTAAGTCTTCTTCACTTTCAGGAAGCAAGGTGGTATCATCTGCATATTGCAGGTTGTTAATGAGTCTTCCTCTAATCTTGATGCCCAATTTATATAATCCAGCATCTTGGATTATTTGCTCAGCATACAGTATGAAATAATGTTATTATATATCTTAAAAATCCTTGATCAATATTATGATAGTGGTTTGGTTACAGGTGTTGTTGTTAAGTGTGGTCAAGTAGGTTTCGACTCATAGTGACCCCCTCTATAGGGTTTCCAAAAAGTGGCTGGTGTCCTTGGACCATCAACCTTATGGTTTAAACCCATCTTGTAGTCCAGAGCATGAACCTACAGTGCCACAGACACTGTCAAACTCATGGAATAGTGTTCTGGAGATCTGTACATTTCATTTGATGTAAAGGTTATCACAATTTTTAAAAAATCATAAGCAAATATTGAACTGTAGTTCATGATTTGCATGCTGAAAGTTGCATATCATTTTATGCGCTTTCCTGATATCTGCAACATTCTTTGAAATGCATCAGAAAACACTATGGATGATGCATCCACCAAAGGGTAGATGGGTGAATGAGCAAATGTGTGATAAAACCAAGTTTAATAAACCACTATTGGTACAATCTAGGTGGAGGATAACTCTTTCAAGTTTTCTATGTGTTTGAAATTTTTTAATACTGAAAGTTTGGGAGAAAAAGACACCTTTAGGATTAAATTACCTCTCACACCTGCAGTAAATTGAATTGTGTCCCCCCAAAATGTGCCAACTGGGCTGGGTCATGATTCTCAATAATTTGGTAGATATGTAATGATGTAATGTGGCGGTCACATGATGATTCCCATGATGTGATCTGATGTGATAAGCCAATAAGAGCCTTAAGGGTGAAATGTAATACCTTTAGTCCCATCCCCACATTTATCTGATGTAAGGTACTGTCCCACAGGGAAATAGCTTTTATTATCCTACAAATATAAAATGAGAGATAAGTGAGCAGACTAGTGTGGCACTGTGGGCTAATGCGTCAGACTGCAAAGTATGGTCAGTGGTTCAAGCTCACTAGCTGCTCCTTGGAAACCCTATACAGGGTCGCTGTGGGTCGGAATCGACTCGACGGCACTTCACAACAACAACTATCACCAAGAAGGAAAAGTAAGGAGTGGAGTGTGTCCTTTTGACCTGGGGTCTGTGCACTGTGGATCTCCTAGATCCAGGGGAAGATTTACCAAGACACAGGGAGAGCTCCAAGGAATACAAGGCCTAAAGATACTGAAAAGAGACAAGGGCCTTTCTGCAGAGTCAATAGAGGGAGAAAGCATTCCTCTATAATTGGCACTATGAATGTGAACTTCTAGCCTCCTTAACTGTGACAGAATGACTCTCTGTTTGTTAAAGCCATGCACTTGTGGTAATTCTGTTATAGCAGCACTGGATAACTAAGACACCACTCCCAGATTTCAGGAAGCAGACTGTTTCCAGAATGTTATGAAATGAAAGTAACCAGTCTCATTTCAATCCACTCAAAAATCCTTCATTGTCTGAATGGTGAATGGCTTGTGACATTAACCAAATATTATTTTTCATTACTTTCCTGCTCCAAGTATCCAGATGATGTTCTACCTTAGGCTGAAACCCCACAATTTCAAGGCTTATTCAACATGTGTTATGAGCGCCAGACAGGGAAATGTTAAGAGGAAAGGATTCACAAGGCTTATTACCTCTTCATAATCAGGCTGTTGCGAGCATTTAGTAAGCTCCCTTTGTGTGGACAGCACTCTATTAGGATGTACATACCAAGAAATTGTTTCATTTAAAAATATTTGCAACTCCATAAGGATAACACAAAAAGAAAATTACAAAAACATGGGGAGTGAGATTTGTAGGGGGTAGGTTGACCACTGAAGATTACTTAGAATTATTGTGCAACTGTTTCCAAGTACGGTGGTAGTGATGGTTGCATGCCATTGAGTTATTTCTGATGCATAGTGGGGCTGTAAGTCGTTACAGGCGTTGTTGTTGTTGTTAAGTACTGTCAAGTCAATTCCGATTCATAGCGATACTGTACAGGGTTTCCAAGGCTGTAAATCTTTATGGGAGCAGAAAGCTTCATCTTTCTCTTGCAGAACCGGAACCGCTGGTAGTTTCGAACTGCTGACGTTGAGGTTGGCAGCCCGACTCGTAACCACTAAGCTACCAGAGCTCCTTATAGAAAACCTCCTTTTTTCCCCTAAGTAACTGGTAGATTTGAACTGCTGAGCTTTTGGTTAGCAGTGCAGCTCATAATCCACTATGGTACCAGGGCTCCTTGTTACAAAGAATGGCCTTTATAAATTCAGTTACATAGATAGATCTTCAAATAACACTATTGAAGGAACCCTGGTACAATGTAATACCATTTCTGTTTAAAAAAAAAAAAAAAAAAGATCCTATACTCTGTAAAGGCTTTGCATGAGGCCTATTTCACTGGGCAAGTTGTAGAAACCCTTTTAGGTATTCCAATCAGTTATTGGCTGAAGGCAGACTTACAAGTTTTCTCTAATCATGTTTCCCAACATTTCTTTCTATCCCACTCAAGTGTCT